GGGGTACCGAATGGGGGTCGGGTTGGCGCCACCAGCCGCGCGGGGAGGGGGCGAGGGGGCAAAGGGTGTGACAGACGAACATTGGCACGGCGGGCCGAGTGCTGTCGCGGCTACAGCGGCGGTGGCGGCGACGGCCGCGCGCGCGCGCTCGCGGTGTCTCGCTCTCGCGAGCTCTATACTGCAGCAGGCCCACGCCAAACCGACAACAAATTACGTTACTTTACTTTGTAGCGCGTCTCTTCACTTTACGAGCAAAAGCTCTTTCCTCCTTGTCGTCGTCGTCCCCGCCGTCCTATGGCACGTGCTCTTGACGTCCGCGCCGACCTCTCATGGAGGAGAAGAGCGGTCCGGACGGGCGGGAGGAATGAATGGCACTAATGACCAGCACCGATAAGGTCGGCACAGAGACGGTCACGGCGGTGAGCCCAACAGGCGTTTAGACGGCGTTTACGATTGCGATTGCCGTCCACTCCATCCCAGTCACCTCCTCTCCTCGTTTCGCCGCGCTGCCGCTGCCGCGCCCTTTGGCCGGGCCGACGGATGTTACTCCGTGAAATATCTGCTATGCGCCACGCGGCACTCAACCGGGGCGACGGCGGCGGCGTCGTCGGCGCCAGCCACGGCCACGCGTCGCGCAGAGAAGACGGAGACGAGGACGACGACGAGGAGGAGGAGGAGAGAGAGAGAGAGGGCGGGGCCGTGTGGCGCCGGCCCGTCCCGGCGTGCCCCGGCTCGGGCGTGAGAGGCAAGGCGAGGCCATTTCACTTAGATCTGTAACCAGCCGTGTCCGCCGACAGTCCGCGTCGCGACCAGTCCGCCTGCCGGGTGGCGTACGTGTACGTACCCCACGCACGGCTTGCCCCGCCCCGCCCCGCCCCGCCCCGCCGCTTCGGCAGGCGCCACCCGGCGGTGGTGGAGAGGGCGTATGGCAGCCCCCCGGGGGCGGGCGCCAAGCGGGGGCGGCGTGGCCGTCGTTAGAAAGGAGGGGAGGGAGGGGGCGGGGTGATAGAACATCACCCGCTAAACACGGCGACTCATGCTTTTGGGTTTGAGACAGGCCGCGCCGCCAGCAGGACGGCGACGGCGCCGGCCTGACCGCGCGCGTCTTTATGAACGTGTTTACAAGGCGAGAATCGGCCGAGTGCGAGTGAGCGGGGCGGGGCGGGGCGGCCGCCCGAGTGCCGCACGCGCGCCAGTATGAGGACGCCGATGTGATCCGTACTTATTGCCCCCCTTTCCCCCTCCCCCCAAACCGTCCCGTCCCGAACTCTTTTTGCGACGACTGCGGGCAAGGAGGAGCGACGCGGCGGCGCGACGTGGCGACGGTGAAGGGGCGGGGGAGGGGGGAGGGGTCTGGCGCCGGGAGGGGCAGAACCCTAGACGGGGCGTGGCGTGGCGTGGCGCGGCGCGCGGGGGGTGAGCGAGTGAGTGAGGGGAAGGCATCACATCATGAAACGGCGACGGTCAAAGAGTGCCACACAGCATATATCGGCGGTAGGGAAGACGAAATAAAATAAAAATCGACGGGAAGGTCCTTCCCTCCTCCCCACCCCACCTCCTCTCCCACCGCCTTGGCCACTTCACAGTGAGGCGCCCGGGAGCCGCGCCGCCACGCCGCGCCACGACGCACATCGGCGCGACGCGACCCCAACCACTCATCTGCCATGTTTATTCCCGCGCTAGGCGCCACTCCAAGCGCTTAGTGGTGCCCGGCCCCGGCCCGGCCCGCGACACGCGCCACAACCACCGTGACTGCGGCTTAGTCCTAGCGCCCGCCTTTAGACGCCGACGCCGACGCCGCCACCGCGACGCTGGCGGTCTGACCGAGTCGAGCGCCGCGCCGCGCCGAGGCGGGGGGGAGCCGGGGCGGGTGGCGCCGGCGCCGCCGGGCTGTGCCGCTGTGGCGCTATGGCTGCGGCGCTATGGCCCCGAGGGGCGCCGGGCCGGGCGGCGCCACGGCGGGGCGGGCCGTGCCGGGCAGCCCTGGGCAAGAGCGGAGCAGCGCGGAGCGGGCAACAGCCAGCCGGATGGCGTCTGCTGCCGGCCGGCCCCGCGGGCCCCGCGCTGTGCCGTGCCTTGCCGTGCCGCCGCATGTCGCCCGCATGTCGGCCAGACAAGCGGACACGACGACTCGACACGCGGCACGGCAAGACACGCCGTGGCGGAAGCGGCCGCCGGCAGAGCGTAGCACCGCGCGTCGCCGTGTCGTCGGACTCGGGCCGCTGTGCGCTGCAGAAGGTCAACGCCTCGGTGCCGCTGGCCAAAGACGCGGCCGCGCTGCTGCGGCCCCTCCGCAAACAGAACAAGAACGGCCCGAGCCAGATCAACGCACTTTGCTCGTCAGGGGCGCTGCGCTAGCCGCGCTCCGCTGTGGTGTGGTGCGCGGGGCGGGGCGGGGCGTGGCGGGGCGCTGCAGCGGCGCTCCGTCACTATCAGTGTTGTCGACGGCAAGCTGTACGCCCGGCCCTGGCCACGCTCGGCCCATGTCGGGGCCCCGCACTAAGCACACACACACACAGACACGCTGACCACTTGGGCCCGCCCGGATCCTTTGGGTCACTCCCTCCTCCACTCACGGTGCGCCACGCCGCGCCACGCCGCGCCACGCCGCGCTCTCCCCCCGAGGGCACAACAACAAGCCCCACGTGCCTGGACCGTGAGTCACAGGGGATCACCTGGAGAGAGACCAAGTCGGCCGGCTATCGGGTGTCCGTCCTGGCCAGGTCCTGGTGGAGTGAGCCGAGCCCAGGCCATGGCCGGGCATACCGCAGGCCGGGACGCAACGCCGCAACTGGCCTGCTTCGGGTCCGGCCGTTTACTGCGCCGTTCGTGGGTTGGGTGAGTAATTTTAAAAACTTAAACTCGTCCGTAAATTTTAACTGGAAAGTTTTCGCGATAGCTTATTGATGTTATTCACAAAATTTGAACTTGTTCAGCATCTACTAGCAGTTTTGTGTTTAATATTTCTCGGAAGTTTCTGCTTACCTTCACCGTTGGTGGAGAACGAGCCCTGCCAGCTCTGCCAGTCCTGCCACCGCGGCGGGGTGCGGCCCCAGGCCGCGTCCTTGCACGGTTCGTCGGGTTCGTCGACGGGGAGGGGGTCCTCGCACGGCGGCGACGGCGGCGCCACCGCTACCTCCTGGCCGCCCTCACTCGGGGCACAGTCTGCGAGAAAAAAAGAAAGAGAAGAGGCGTGAGCAAATGCAACTAAAAGAGCGATGAAAACTTGCGAGGGCACTTGTTGAGATTTTTACACCGTCCGCCCTGCAACTTTGTAGGCGATGCAGAGAGGCGACAGGCATGTATGTCGTCTGTATTGAGCTATCCCCGCCGTCACCAAGTCCATGACCATCACTCTTATCCACCGGGCGAGGCTTGTTTTTCCCCCCGCGCCCCTCCCCTGCGAGGGCTGCCCCCACACGGGCTGCCCGCGCTAGCCAGTCGACGGGCCGCGGGCCGCGGCACGGGCACCGCGGGCTCTGCACTCCACCCTGGTGGGCACCGGTCCAAGCGCCAATGGGGACAGGCCAGTTCAGCGCCCCTGCAAAGCACTGCAAAAGCCCCGGCAAAATGCCCTCTCTGCACACGCCGGCTCCATGCAAGCAGAAGCCCACAAAGACGCCGCCGCCCGCAAAAGCCCTGTGGCTTCCCTTCTGCCACCGACTTCCCTTTCGGCCCTACGGTAAACACTCACCCCCCACCCCCGTGTTTGACGAGGGCGGCGGGCAGCCCCCTGGCGCGGCCAGAACCCCCGGGGCGGACATGGGCAGATCTCCTTTAAGACGGCGGCGGCGCGTCTTTCCGGAGCGACCCGGTCGCGGCCCCGGAGGCGCCACCGGAGCAGCTCCAGGGCCTCTTAAAGGGGATGGATGCTGCACGCGGGCTAAAGGGGAGAGACCCGACCGCGCGCCGCCACGCCGCGCGACCTCCATGGGCCCGGGTCCATTCATTGGCTGTTTGCTGACTCGGCCGATACACAAATAAAAAGTCACCAAAGTCGTCGCCACATCGCAGCAGCAGCAGCAGTCCATTGAGGCGGCGGGGATCGGGCGGGGCGGGGTCCACCAACCACTCCTGCCTTATCAAAAGCAGAGGCCCAGGCCGGCCTGCCCAGGCCCCGGGCCGCTCCCAAGAAACCAGCTCGGCGACGGGAACCGACGGGAACCCACCGGGAGATGGGATGAATCAGAAAGGTGCGGGCCGGGGCGGGGAGGGGCGGGGAGGGGAGGGGCGCTATGCGGGGCCCGCACAGCGGCAGCAGCGGGACGGCGGCCACGCGGCGACACATTTGCGACGCAGATATTGAGCGCGCGGACGCGCGTCGTTGGCGGTCCGGCCGGCCGGCGGCAGGGCAGAGGCCCCGTGTGCTGCGCGGTCAGCTGCAGGGACACGAACATGAACACGACGCAGCCACCCACCGTACTATTTCAGCACAAAGTTCCCCATACACAAGTACTATGATGCTGCACACGACGACGCGCTCGTTGGAGTCGAAAGCTGCACGCGCGTCAGACGATACGTCGGCCAACACCAGCAGCGCGTCCCCCAGCTGTCAGTCGCCCTCACCCGCGGTTGGTGGCGCCACGGTCAGCAGCAGCTGCCAGGCCGCCGGGTGGCCCGGGCGCAGCTGGGAGCGAGCAGCACGCCCGAGTGTATGCCTTGCATCTCATGCCTAATGCCCGCCCCGCCCTGCCGCGCCCCGCGCCGAGGAGCGGCGCCTGGCCGTCGCAGCGCCGCAGCTCAGAGTTTCTCCAGAACATATTTGCGCACGTCCGCGACGTCCTCTCTGAGGAAGGCGGTGAGAGCGCCCGCGGCCGGCGCCGGCAATAACATCGCCGGTCGTCCTGGCCGACCCCTCCCCCCCCTGCGCGATAAACTTAGCGAAGGTTTCGGCGAAACGCGGCGGCGGCGGCATGAGAGATTGAGACGGCAACGTGACGGTGGCGGGGCAGGCGCGGCGCCGCGGCCAGAGTCCTCCTCCTGGGCCTGACGGACGTGCACCGGGCCCGTCATGTTTGTGTTCGTTTTCCTCGGGAGCCAAGGATCCCGGGGTGTACTCGAGCTTGCAGGCCGGCGGCCAGGCTCTGTAGCCAGGCCACGTTTCTGCCAAACAGACGTACGTTTCTCATCTTCTCGCTATGCTCTATCCTCCGTCTCACTCGCTCTCGCTGCGACGTCCGCGACTTGGAGGACCTCCAGGGGCGCCTCTCGCGGAGATGACATGAGTGGGGCGGACACGAGGGAGGTGAAGAGAGGGGTTGACAAATCGCAGGTATTCGCGGAGCTAGAGACCATCATCAGATTCAAACAACATTGTGCTACACTGGTTGCAGGCGGGGCGTGTGGAGCAGCGGTGAGGCGCGCGTGCTCTGCGCGGCGAGGTAGGCGCCAGGGCGCTTTAGCCCGGGGAGAGGCTCCTCCTTGCGTCACACTTCACCTTGGGGACCATTTCATCCGGCGAGAGAGGAGGAGGGGCGGGGAGGGGGGTGGTCGGGGTAAGCACCTGAGCCGACCCGTGCAGCGGCGGCGGCCGCCGGCCCTCCATTCATACGGCCCGGCGCGCCCCGACTCGTTATCGGCCCGAGGATAGCCACATATACATTTCTAAAGAAAAAATAATAACCATAAAAAAAGGCGTGTGATTCGGATGAATGCATTAGCCGGCCGGGCTTCGCCAAAGCCAGCGACGGACGGAGAGCGCTACTGCTGATAGTGGCGGACGGTCGCGGCTGAAGGTGGCGGGGCGGGGCGGGGCATGGATTTATACCCGCGTGAGTTTGGCGGGGCGGGAGGGGTAGGGCCCTGGCCGGGCGCCGGGACGCGATACCCTATCTCTCTTACACACCCCATTTCCGAGGCTTTTAGCACCACTTCCTCTCCGTCCAGCTTCGCTCCCTTCCAGTCACTCACGCTCCAAGTCCCTCCTCCAGCAGTCCACCACCAGCGGCGGCGGCGCCCCGCTCAGCTTTCCCACTACATATTCCATACTTTTTATTGCAATTTTTTCCAGCGCAGCTTCCAGCAGCTTCTAGCCGCCAGACTTGGACCTCGATCATCGCACGCCCGTCGGACAATGTTGCAAAGCTCCACACCAACACTACCAGCAGCGTGCCGTAATGCATGCGCGCGCGCACACACACAGACACAGACGACTCACACACACAGACACAGACGACTTACACGCGCGCTGAGGGCCATTACGGGGGTATCCAGACCCAGTCCAGTCCAGAGGAGGAATAGAGTTTTTATCTGGAACCTGTTGGGCGGGTCAGCAGAGCCTCCGCCCCGCCCCGCCCCGCCCCGCCCCGCCCCGCCGCGCTCCGGCCCAGAGAGTCTCCTCCACCGCGCCGCGGCGGCGGGGCCTGACATATAAAGTCCATTTGAATGGACCGGGCCAACAGCACAGCGCCACAGCACAGCGCCGCCGCGTGGGTTTAACAGCGGCGCAAGTGAGGGAGTGCCGCACGGCAGCCGACCAAACGGCGGCTCAGGGTTAGAGAACGCTACTGGAAGTGCGCGGCGGGTGATGCAGCGAAAGGCAAAAGGAAGGGTAGGACAGGGCCGAATAAAGTTGTCCCAAGACCAGCTTTAAGAAATACATGTAGCAAAACCAAGACGTGTGATGCTTGGAATAAGTACTTGCATTCATGCAGGGGAGAACAGAACATCACGCCGAGTATAGGCGGGGCAATAACGGAGTTAAAGTAAAAGACGGAGGGTAATAAAAAGAGTGCGAGAGAAAGAGCGAGAATACATAAGCGATAGCCGGGCGACACGCAACGTCCGTCCAATGTCAACGATTCCGGTTTCATTCAGTTGGCACCGTGGGAGCCGGCCGGACCATACGGAGCGGCAGGACCGGGCTGGGCCGCCGGGACCCGCTGCTTCGCCGGACGTAAGACAAACTCACGGAAAAACTAAACTGCCGCTCGCGACAGCAACAAAGAAAGTCGAGGAACATTTAGGTGTCATTTCATTATTGTCAGTGTCTCGAGATCGGCAGGTGAAGTCTATGTGCGATCATTGAATGGCCTGTCCGTTATAGGTCTCCGCTCCTGACAGAGGCCCTGGCGCCGCGCCGGGTAGGCTGCCCGCCCCGCGCGCGTGCCCGGCTGGCCCGGCCAGGGCGGCGGCGGCGGCGCCCTTCTCCGACAAGACGAGTCCACTCAGTGACGGGCTGAGTGCCGCGGCCCGACCCGGCCCGGCCGGGGGGACTGGAGTCGTCACTCCTAATGCCTCCTCTAAAAGCACCTCCCTCCGCCCAGAGTCCCGTGAGTCATCAGCAAGCACCGGGGCCAGACGTCGAGGTGGTTGGAGTAAGAAGGTCCCCGTCTCGGCGACGACGGACCCTGGTGACTCCATGTCGTGGAGCGCGCGAGCCGGCGAAGGGGAAGCGAGAGAGAGAAAGAGAGACGTAAAAAGCATCTAGAGAGATTGAGAGACAAAGAAGTCATCGCCCGTCCGTCCCCCGGGCCGCCGGGCGCGGCGCCCATAATCTGTTTGCTTTGACACTCGCCTTTGGGAAATTAGCTCCCCCAAGTGCTTTGAATGGGATGGCTACTTTACGGGCGGGTGGTGGTGGCCGGGGAGGGGAGGGGGTAGGGGTCACCAGGACGGGCGCCGTGGTAGTTACGTGGTATACGAACGAGGTTGTGTCGGGGTCGTGCCGGGGGCCACGGGGCCGGCGAGGGCCGCGTGGGGGAGGGGCAGGGGGGCGGGCAGGGGCCCCCAGACTTGTGGCAGCGTCACGGGAACGCCCTCGCGGCGCCCCGCCGCCACAGGCGCCATGGGCGCTATCTGCATTTATCGCCACTCCACTGGCGCCAGCGCCCGGGCGGCCCGCCGGGCACGGCGGGCACGTCACAGCGCGACAGCTCGCCACCACGACGACCACGGGCCCGTCACGGAGGGGGCGGGGCGGGCGGAGCGGGGCAAGGGGGAACGGAAGACCCACTTCTCGACCGTGAAACAACAACGAAAGTACGTTAAAGCGCTGCGTGGCCGGCCCGCGGACCGGGGCACAGCGAGGAAGTACCGAGAGCGAGAGAGAGAGAGAGGCGCTCGCAGCTCGAGTGTCGCCGTCTCTGTCCCGAGCACGGTCCGAGCCGCGCCTGTCTCAGGAGGACCGCGCCATGAGGCGCATGAGGCCAGCACTGGAGTAAGTACTGGTGGAGAGGAAGCGGCCATAAAAACGTGAAGCTCGCTCCAGCTCTGTGTGCGGAGCGCGCGCGCTCAGA